AGGAGATGTTAGGAGGAAGTGCTGTTTGGCTAAAGCTTGGTTGGAAGGGAAAGCGCTGGAATCTTCTGTGAACATGGTGTATTTGTGAGGATCGGGGCGGGAAGATATGGCTTCCTCAAGAAAACCCCCAGCTGGTTGGAGCCTTCTTAAAAAGATGGATGCTGGGCTGTTGGCTCTGAAATTTTCTTCCAAATAACAGAAGGCTGACTTCCTTGGTTTTTAAAATTTTTATTATTATTATTATCTTTCAAATTGGGCAAACCACTTAACCATGCCCCCATGTGTTTATTTTGACAGCTGATACATCTCCTGATTCTTTTGTGGCTGTACAGATAAACAACTTATAAACTGAGAACAGGAGAAAAATATTCCCTCCAAGGACTCCTGCTGGCTGCAAGAGGCTGGTCCTGCCCTTCTCTGAGAAGACTCCTGCGGTTGCAGTTAGCCCTCCATATTTTCAGCATTCCCTCCAGTGTGAGATTTAGAGCTGGCTCCTCGTTGCCTTTTTGTAATAGTTTTTTTTTGTTGTTGTTTTGTTTTCAATATGACTTTCAATATGAACTCTCTTTTGATAAAACAGCACCTACAGTTCCTTTAGGGAAGTCATTTTCCTTCAGCTTGATCACATGGAACCTGATTGACAATCAGGTTCTTTTCCTGGCTAGCTGTTGTTATTGTTCAGTTGCTAAATCATCTCTGATTCATTGTGACCCGATGGATTACAGCATGCTAGGCTTCCCTGTTCTTCACTATCTCCTAGAGTCTGCTCAAATTCATGTCCATTGAGTCAGTGATGCTGTCTAACCATCTCATCCATTGCCACCTCCTTCTCCATTTGCCTTCAACCTTTCCCAGCATCAGGGTCTTTTCCAATGAGTCAATCTCCTGGCCAGAGTGATTGGTTAAAAGTTGGCCAAGTAACCTGGTCCAGACAATGAGACAAGAAGAGGTAGACTGCTAGGGCTTCTATAAAATAAACACCCTTCCTTCTCTTGAAGGGTGTAAGACCTAGAGTTTCACTGGCCATTTTTGCTTCCCCAAGGGGAGAGAGTGCAGCAGCTTCAGGATCAAGTCAACTGTATGGAGGCAGAGAAGGGAGACATTGCCTTTGGTGATATCATTTAAACTCCTGGATCAAGCCAAGCCTGAAGGCAGATGACTCTGGACTTTTCAAGCGTATGCGTAAATGAAAGTTCTTTTGTGTTTAAGACAGTTTGGGTTGAGTTTTGTCACCAGCCATTTAAACAGTCTCAGTGATGCCCTTGCCAATAGCATGCCCTAAGGGCTGTCGAGAGAGTTGAAGGAGGGTCCACCTGCTCACTGGTGGTTCAATTTGAAGGTGGGACCAATGCGTGGGCAAAAAGTGCAGGGGAAGATGGGTGCAGGGTACACCATCTTGTACACCATGGGTGGAGCATAACAGTGCAGATTTTTGGGGGGGGCGTCACTCTGGGTCCTTTGAGAAGCAAGTGCCAAGATAAATTACGTGTACAAGGATTTTCTTAGAGGAAATGCCTGTGTGGGGAAAAAAAAAGCAGGAAGGAAGCCAAGGCTGGTAAAGTCATCAGACTTGGATGCAAGTCTGACCCCCCAGTGAAGGAGAGAAGGTGGAGGCATCCTAGACAGTCTTGCAGTCTAAGGCAAGTTCTCTCTCTCTCCTTCAAATTTTTCTCAGGCTTGGTTGCCTGGCTTCCCAGCCCACAGCATCTCAGTGCTAACAACCTAGAAAAGATGAGGGACTCTGTGGGCTGTCAGAGACTAGCACACTGACACCCAGATAGGACGACAGGAGACAAAAATATCTGAAGTTGATGCAGCCCACATGACCCAGAGTCATCAGGAAAAGACTAATCATCTTGAGTATCTTCTGCTTAAAGGAAGCAGGAAAATGTATAACTTGGTTTAGAAAGATTTCTACCCAAAGTAGAAAAAGTAGATATAGTTGTTTTAAGAATGAGTTTTAGTTTTCTGGAAAAGTCCCCTATGGAGAACTCTTCATTTCTCAAAGCTGCCTGATGAATTAGTCAGAGCTGGAAGGGTCTGCATCTCCATATCACAAAAAGCCACTTCCAAGAGGTCACACAGTAAGTAGCACTGGTGAGATTTGAACTAATGTCTTTTTTTTTTTTTTTAGAAAACCCTCTGATTATTATTTTTTAATTTATTTTAGTTAATTTGCTTATTTGGTTGTGTCAGGTCTTAATTGTGGCATGCAGGATCTAGTTCCCTAACCAGAAACCCCTGCATTGGGAGCGCAGAGTCTTAGCCACTGGACCACTAGGGAAGTTGTCGAACCAATCTTGTTTTGAAAATTTGTTCTTACTGAATTGTAGTTGATTTACAATGTTGTGTCAGTTTCTGGTGTACCGCAAACTGATTCGGTTACATATATGTAAGAATATATATTCTTTCTCATATTGTTTTCCATTATAGTTTCTTATAGGATATTGAATACAGTTCCCTGTGCTATATGGTAGGACCTTGTTGTTTATTTATTTTATATATAGTAACTTGTATCTGCTAATCCCAAACTCCTAATTTATCCTTCCCTCCATCTTTCCTCTTTGGTAGCCATAAATTTGTTTTCTATGTCTATGAGTCTGCTTCTGTGTTGTAAATAAGTTCATTTGTATCACATTTTAGATTCTGCATATAAGTAATATCCTATGATACTTATTTTTCTCTGTCTAGTTTACTTCACTTATTATAATAATCTCTAGGCCCATCCCTGTTGCTGCAAATGACATTATTTCATTCTTTTTTATGGCTGAGTAGTATTCTATTATATATATATATATATATATATATATATATACACATAAAACACATCTTCTTTATCCATTCAACTATTGATGGCCATTTAGATTATTTCTGTGTGTTGACTATTGTAAATAGTACCACTATGAACACTGGGGTGCATGTATCTTTTTGAATTATAGTTTTGTTTGGATATATGCTCAGGAGTGGGATTGCTGAATCATACACAACTCTTATTTTTAGTTTTTTTGAGGAATCTCCTTAGTGTTTTCCACAATTTCCTTAGTGTAAATTGGCTACACCAATTTACATTCCCACCAACAGTGTAGGAGGGTCCCCTTTTCTCCTCTCCCTATCCAGCACTTGTTATTTGCAGACTTTTTAATGATGACCATTCTGACCAGCGTGAGGTGATACCCACTGTGATTTTGATTGCATTGCCCTGATAATTCGCAATATTGAGCATCTTTTCATGTGCCTATTGGCCATCTATATGACTTCTTTGGAGAAATATCTATTTAGGTCTTTCGCCCATTTTTTGATTGTGAACCCATGTCTTTTTGATTCCAGGTCTGCTAGCACGGAGGGGTACCACCCAACTCCCCTGCTTCAAGGAGGTGGGTGGAGGGGCCCCCAGCTGTCAGCCCCCACAGGGTCAGCCCCAGCTGCAGAGACCTGCCTTAATCCAAGTCACATTCTTTCCCGGGAGCCCGCATCAGTGATTCTTGCCTCAGAAATCCCATGGACAGAGGAGCCTGGCAGGTTACAGCCTATGGGGTTGCAAACAGTTGGACACAACTTATTGACTACACCACCACCACCTCAGTGACTGAGTGGAATATGGGGCTAAAGGTCTGGCCATTTCAGCCCCATGTGGTCCACTCTGATGGCCGCTGTCTGCCCCATGGCTTATCTGCAGGCTCAGTGGTGGTGGGCAGAAAGACAGTCCCTGGTGTGAGGTGATGTCCAACTGTTCAGACTTCCGTGGAGTGAACTGGGAGGGTATATGGGGAAGCGGGAGCTCCACACTAGCAGGGGCAAAGTATCAGGTAGTGATGGACAGAGAAGAGTGCTTACAAGCATCACTAGATTGTGGCTATTGCTAAAAGACAGATTTTCTACAGAAAGTAAACAGCTGAGGACAAGTGTCAGGCACTGGGTCAGGAATGAAAGTCAAGAGCCCCTTTGGCTGCAAAGAAGTTCTCATCTCTTGTGGCAGGAGACAGATGAAGCCTGGGGCTCAGAGTGTCTGAACTTCAAAGGCAGGGGCCTTCCTGGTGGCTCAGCTGGTAAAGAATCTGCCTGCAATGCAGGAGACCCCGGGTTGATTCCTGGGTTGGGAAGATCCCCCAGAGAAGGGAAAGGCTACTCACTCCAGTATTCTTGGGCTTCCCTGGAGGCTCAGACAGTAAAGAATCCACCTGCAATGCAGGAAATGTGGGTTTGATTCCTGGGTTGGGAAGATCCTGAGCTCCCAACGAAGGGAGCATGTCAAACTACAGTCAACAGCTACCAGCTGTTATGCTACAGCTGGATGGGACCTTGACAGTGGGGATGGGGTCATCTGGGTGTTCCCCTCAATGAGGTTTTCACTTTGGGGGCTATTGTGAGTAATGTGTGTATTACTGTGAGTAATACTATGGCCATTCATATCTGAAAACCTGTTTTCAATTTTGTTGGGTACATGCTGAGAATTGGAATTGCTGGTCCCATGTGGTAATTCTGAGTTTAACTTTTTAAGTAAGTGCTGAGCTGTTTTCCAGAATGGTTTCTCCTTTACATTCCCAGCAGCAGTGTATGAGTCTGGTGATACTTTCATTTTCCTTGGGGAATTGCCTTCCTCTTTTGGTTCATGTGGATTAAACAATATTGACCTCTCTGCCTCAACCACGTGCATCCAAGCAGAGTCTAGCCAACCAGCATGTGCCAAAGAGACTGCTTCAAGAATGGGTGTTTGCCCCAAGCCAGGCCAGTGAGATTCAACTCTGAATCTAGAACAACCCCTGGGCTTTTATTACTTGTACCAATAAATCGACCATCCTTCATGTATCAGGCCAGTCTGAGTTGGGTTTCCTGTCACTCGTGACCAACTGATTACATTATCTTAAGAGGTGCTTGTATAAAATCTCTGTTTGGGATATTTGTCTCCACTGTGTGTTTGACATTTATTGAGTTGACTTTACATCAGGTACAGCTACAAGTCAATGCTGGAGTTGGACTTGGGCTGTGAGGGCGAGAATGCATCAGTGAATGGTCAGAGCTGCGATCTTGCAGACAAAAGGGAACTTCCGGCTGCAGGTGTTATCATTCCATGACCTCAGAGCTGTGGTGGGAAAAAGCAGAGACTCTGTGTGAAGGTACACCTACCACAGTAAAAGTAACCCCACCATCCCACCAAAGTAAAAGTCCTCTCCCATAAGCTTGGTGTCTACACTGGCATCCCTTTCTTGCTGATGCTTGATGCGGCTGCTGTCCAGCCTTACTCTCTCCTAAGGCTAGTGTTGACTTGCTATTCTGGAGAGGCAGGACAAGCCTCACTCAGAGGCTTGACCCAGCTCTGACTCCCAGGTGGCTCCCAGAATAGCAATTTGCTCCCCTAATCAGAAGAAGAAAAAGGAGCCGGTCAGTGTTTGGATCTGGAGTAGATATCGAAACCCAGCTCCATAGTTGCTTGCTGTGCAAACTCAAACAAATCACTTAACTTCTCTGAGCCTCAGTTTCTTCATCTATAAAGTGGAAATATTAATTTTTATCTCTCAAGATTTTTATGAGCAGCGATGATGCTCATGGTGATGGTGATGACTGCTGATAGCACATCCAAACCACTGTAGTCACTTTATGTTCCTTATCTTCTTTTTCCTTCCCATCAACCCTGTGAGTTAAGTGTGACTAGCCCCATTTTATGGATGAAGAATCTGAGGCACCAAGAAGTTGGCTACTCGATTTACAAGCGGTGGAGCTGCAGTTCAGACAAGGATAGTCAACTCCAGAGTCCATGCTCTTGCCACAGGGCATATCAGCTGTATCTCCTTCAGGGCTCAGAACAGCCCTGTGGGTGGGACTGATGATTATAGATGAGGAAAGAGAGAATAAGCTATTGCCTCAGGACACAGAGTTAGAACGCAACAGGGCTGGGACTTCAGCCAGGCTGGGTATTCTTTTCACTACTGCGCCTACGCACTCTTCCTGGCTTACTTTTGTTCTAATGTACACGAGCATGAGCCACTTTTAGTGTGTTGCTGAGCTGACATAGAAGCACCATCCTTTGGTCTCTATACAAGTTTCTTGCTTGCTTTCTTTTCATGCTTCTGTCTCTAATGTCTTTTCATCAAATCACAGTTTGCATGTCAACAACACACCATTAAATATTATTTAAAATGCATCCACCACAGAGAATGGCCACGTCCCTAACACCTCCAAGGGGTCTCTGGCCACCCTCCAAGGTGTTGAATAACTCACAGTGCCTTAACCATCCCTGGTGCCTCCCAGCACCCCTGCAAGAGCCCTGGCCTCAGGGGCACCCACCGCTGGTGGGCCGGTACCATATCTGCACGCAGTCCTCCTCTTCTGGGTCTGCATGGACGCCGTCGTCCGGCTGGCTCCCATCCCAGTAGCTGTAGTCATAGGGTGAGCCATCTGTCCATTCAAACTTCCCTTCCTGGGGGGTCGCATCCAGAGGCAAGGAGCAAGCCCAGGAGAGAAAGATCAGACATTCAAGCCATCTCCAGCTTGGAGTAACATCTAATGCCTTCATACCTAACAGTGCAGAAGCCCTCACTTTTATCTGATATACTATTATTACCACCATAACTGGTAAAGGAGAAACCCTGTGGACACAAAGCCCCTCCATGTCCCCTGCCTCTTGCTTGTAGAAAACCTGCAGTCTCCGAGGCCTCCCGTGAGTCACAAAAGAGCAGGTTCAAACAGTTAATGATTAGGACACTGGAATCACAGACTCTGTAGTTTCTCCCTGAAGATATTGACGACAGTGTCCCATGCACATTCCTGAGTTGTTTTGCGACTACTGTGATTGGCACAGAGGGGAAAAGCTGACTGCATGAATGACCAGACTGCATCCCTGACATAAGCTGCTCCATCTTGTGCAGCACTGGATCTGTGCTAGCACAGTACCCAGAACTGTCTTCAAGGAAATGAGGACAAACTGATCCTGGAGTTGAAGAATCAAGATGATGCTGATCTGACCACCTCATGACAAGTTTCATAACGACTGTGGGAGCTGGCTGTGCTGTTCTGCATATATCCCCCTGCCTGTGCACCCCTGAAACTCCCCTTTAAAACCTTTGCCTCCTAACCAGCAACTGGGAGACAGTTTGGGGGACCCATCCGCCATCTCCCCAGGTTTTCAAAATGCAGCATCTTTCTTATTCCATCAACCCTGTCTCTCAAACACTGTCTTTTGAGTTTGGTTCCAGCTCTGGCTGGTAATATTACTATCTGTTGTTTGTTGAGGGCTTATTATATATCATGCCAGGTGGGCATTTTGTCCTCACCATCCTGCAAAGCAGAAATTGTCATCTCCATTTTATAGATGAAAAAACTGAGACTCAGATTAGTCTACCCAAATTCACACAGTTAATAAAGCATTAGTGCCAGGATTTAAACCCAGGTCTATCTGACTCCAGTACTCAAGACCCTAACTATTACATTAAAAAATTTTTTCCTACCAGTGAGTGGAAATCATTCTTCATCTTTTTTCTGTCTGTCCAAGTAGTGTGTATTTTTCTTGCCTGCTGTGGAACCACTCTGACCAATTACAAGAAAAATCCTGTTGGGAATTTGATTGGTGTTGCAATAAATGTGCAAATTAACTGCGGAAAGAATGACTTCTTTGCAATGCCCTGGAACAGAAGTCATTTCTCCATTTATTCAAGTTTTTAGAAGAGTCTCTCTGGAAGCATCGATGATTACGGAAGCCACGTTGTATAATGGAAATTGCATGCACCTTCTGGGAGACTAGAGCCTGGGATTCCAGCTCCTCTCACTTCCTAGCTCTGGAATCTAGACAACTTACTTAACTTCTCTGAGCCTCAGTTTCCACACCTGTAAAATGGAGTGAATATTTCCCTCAGAAGAATTATTGTGAGAATTGAATGAGTTGAAAGCACTAGCAGACTTAGCTAGTGCCTTGCATGTGGTACCTAGGACTGAAAAGAAAAGTATAAAAGCAAGTCCTTTTACTGTATCATTTGTTATTATTATTCTCAAGTCTTATAAGTTCCTTAACTCTAAGTGTATTCATAAGCCAATTTTAAAATTACTACTATAATGGGACATTTTGGTTCTTTTTTTAAGTTACAGCTTCTATATAAGTTCTTGCCAGATGAATTCTGCTGATTGTTGTTAAACTATCTTTACTGAGCCTGGCCACTATTGTTACTTCTGCTTCACTAATAGCAAGTTCGACCACGCTAAATGAGCTCTCACCGTGCGCCAAGCACAGGCTAAATCCTTCACATATATTGGCTCATTTACTTTGTACAACCAGGCAGCATTATGATCACTCCATTTCACAGCTGAGAAAACTGAAGCCCAGAGATGTTAAAAAAAAAAAGAAAATTGTCTCAGAGTCACCTGTGTGTGTGCTAAGTTGCTTCAGTCGTGTCTGACTCTTTGTGATGCTGTGGACTCTAACTCACCAGGCTCTTCTGTCCATGGGATTCTCCAGGCAATAATATTGGAGTGGGTGGTCATGCCCTCCTCCAGGGGATCTTCCCAATCCAGGCATTGAGCCCGTGTCTCTTACATCTCCTGCATTGGCAGGTGGGTTCTTTACCACTAGCGCCACCTGGGAAGGCCCCAGAGTCAGCTACTGTAAAGTAAATGGTAGAAGAGGTGCTGGAAATGGAACTCTATTCCCTGCGGTGCTCTGAGGCAGGGTTGGAGGTGTACATATAGGAGAGATGCTCAGGATGCAGCTTGCCTGGGGTAAGTCAGCAGACAAAATCTCCAGGTAGAGTCTGCTGAGATACTGCCAGGAATGAGATCTGGCCCAAGCCAGCCCTCTTTGGCCTTGTTCTCCCACCATCATTCCACCAACTCCTCCACACTGCCTCCCAGACACACTGGTCTCTAGTGTCCTTGAGTGTGCTGTGACTCTCCCGCCTCAAGACCTTTGCCCACGCTGTGCTCTCTGCCTGGAATGTTCTTCCTCTGACTGACTCCTATTTGTCCACTGGACATCAGCTTAAATGTCTTTTACTCGGGGAGGCTGCGGCAGCTGTAGATGTGCCCTGCTCAGAGCTCCTTCATCAGGACCTGCTGGGGGAGCAGGGCTGACTGACAGCTCCTTGGACCCAGAACTGCATTCACGGGGAGAATATGCTTCCTTCATGATCACTGGTATTAGTGCTGGCCCACTCCTGCTCAAGTGGGAGTCCTGGAATGGGCATCCTCTGCCAGGGGATGCCCCATTGGCTTAGCCAAGACTTTCCAGAGTGTTCTGCAATCTGAGGCTCTCCCCATCCCACCCACCCCCATCTCCTTTCTCTGGGCTCATCATGGGCTGAAGGTCTTCCCTCCTGCCATATATACCTGCCTTCTTTTTTTCCTTTGCAGATATTTTCCCTCAAAAGCCTCTTACCCATCTAATCAAGTTTTTGTGTCTTTTTTTTTTTTGAGAATCCAAACCTAAACAGAGCCCATCACTGGCCATCTGATATGTTTCCATCCTCGTCTCTTTCACAACATTTATCATATTCTAACTGGGGTGTCTTGGTGTCTGATTTCTCTGTATGCTGGGCATGTGGCAGGGACCTGGCACATAGGTTCCATGTGAAAAGCTGGTTAAATCAAAGTGGAACCTTGGCTGGAGCTTCCAAGAGGGTGTGATGGCCAGCACTTGCTCACCTGCCTGTGATCGTGAAGCCCTGTCCAGATGTCAGCTGGAATCCCAGGAACACAGCTGTTTACAAGATCGTACACAAAGACATTCTCCTCCCAGCTGCAAAGGTAAGAAACCCAGGTGCATGTTACTCCTTGCCTCTTGGCGCAGGATTAAGTTGCAAATCAACAGCAACCTTTGTTAATCCTCCTGGATCAAAGTAAATACAGAATGTGATGCAATCTGGCTTTCTCCTTTTTCTTTTTTACCTAGGGCACCCACATGGGCTGTCCTGTTAGTGGCATTTCTGCATTTTTTCCATGCCAGTGCAAAGCAGGACTCAGCACTGCTATTTATCCTATAAACTAAGTCTATCTCAAAAACACTAGCAAATAAGGTGGATTATATTGAAGAGACAAAAAAGAAAAAAGAAAAAGAAAAGGAATTGACATTGTATTGCATACACCAAATAACAAAAATCTCCACTGGATGTTCTTGCTCTTTCTCAAAAGCCCCCCCCCTCCCCCCCACCTTACAGTGCTAGTCCTTACATAGCCTCCTCTCTCCTAATTTTTTTTTTTCACAGAACATCTTCAAAATCTTTGGCTTTGCTGGAAAACTCAACTAGAGGCTTGAACTTGCATAGTCAACTCAGCAAAACCAAATCCTGAAACTACCTACCTACCCTCTTCAACAGGTGTCTTAGGCCATGCAGGCTGCTACAACAAAATACCACAGTCTGGGTGGTTTATGAACTACAGGAATTTATTTCTCACAGTTCTGGAGGCTGGGAAATGCAAGATCAGGGTGCCAGCATGACCAGGTGAGTGCACCTTCTGGGTGCATACTTCTTGCTGTGCCTTCACATGGCAGCAGGGGGCAGGGGAGCTCTGTGGAGCTCCTTTTATAAAGGCACTAATCCTGTTCATGAGGGCATCACCCTCAGAGCTTAAGCATCTCCCAAAGACCCCACTTCCTATCACCATCACATGGGGCATTAGAATTTCAACATATGAATCTTGTGGGGACAAAAACATTCAAAACACAGCAGAAAGCATTAGTGGGATTCTCACCTCCTATTTCAAAGAGCTTATAAAGTAATTTACCTAACAAAAGAAACTGGTGGAGGGCCCTGGAAGTAGTCTGCTGCCTAAAAGAACACTTAATCCATAACTCCTTTCAAAACAGGATTATGTTGAGGTATCCTTTATGTTGCTACAGATTGCATCTGCTCCTGATGGCTTCTTCTAAATGACCACTCTATAGACTGCCACCTTGTCTAGAATGCCTGCCCATCAATTTCATTTTGCTTAAGCTGTTGGTAGCAAGTCAAAGCACACATAATGCTGTGCCATGCTGCGTGTGCTAAGTCATGTCTGACTCTTGCAACCCCATAGACTGTAGCCCGCCAGGCTCCTCTGTCCATGGGATTCTCCAGGCAAGAATACTGGAGTGGGTTGTCGTGCCCTCCTCCAGGGGATCTTCCTGACCCAGGAATTGAACCCGGGTCTCCTGCATTGCAGGCAGACTCTTTACTGACTGAGCTATAAAGGAAGCCCTAAGCACACATAATAACTCTCCTTAACTATGTGTTTGTGGAAGACGTTACCAATCCATCCCAGAAGCACTCAGAATTCTGGTTCTCAGAATCTTTCTCAACACAGTGCTCTAGGCAGTCATGCACTAGGAGTTGCTGATCAAAATTGTTATAAATTGAATGTTTGTGCCCCTCCCCCAAATTCATATATTGAAATGCTAACTCCTGATGTCACTGTATTAAGAGGTGGGGCCCTTGGGAGGTGATTAATTCATGAGGGTGAAGCCCTCATGAATGGGATTAGTGCCCTTATAAAAGAGGCCCTAGAGAGTGCCCTTGCCCCTTCTGCCTTGTGAGGATACAGCGTGAAGATGACCATCTGCAGACTGGGGAGTGAGCCCTCAGCAGAACTTGACAACACAAGGTGCTCTGATCTCGGGCTCCAGAACTGTGAGAAACACATTTCTGTTGTATATCAGCCACTCGGTCTGTGACATTTTTGTAACAGCAGCCTAAATGGACCAAGATAGATATTATTAGAAGCAGTGGAGAGGAAAGATGGCGGGTGGGGCAAGTCTTACTTGCCCTCAGAAAGAAGATCTGACGTGGGTAAACTAAGTGAGTGCTGACCTCTTGAGACACCCATGATTATAATTAATAAAAATAATTAAGAACTCTCACTATGAAGCATTATGTTACCTGAGTGCTTGTGTAAGAACTTCAGATCCGTTATCTCCTCTAAAATCCTCAGTCTTAAAAGCCCAGTGTAACTATTGATGTTTCCCAGCTGAGGACTCTGACTCGGAGAGTTTATGTGACTTGGGTAAGATCACCAGGTAGGAAGTGGTGGAGTGGGGACTAGCCTATGGCTGCCTGACTCTAAAGCCCTCTTAATTTCCTCCTTTATAACATCTGCTATCCCCATCCCCTAAGCTTCCCAAACCTTCAAGATCCTGATACAGGACTAGTTCTTCCAGGAAACATTCTGTGAGCACCCTCTATATAATCCCTGAACACCTGTAACAGAAAGTTTCCATGCTCCCCAGGGTGGGCTGCTAGGCTTCATTTTCTGCTTCTCAAGGTTGTGTGTGCAGGCTAAGTCACTTCAGTCCTGACTGACTCTTTGTGACACTGTGGACTATAACCTGCCAGGCTCCTCGGTCCATAGGGTTCTCCAGGCAAGAATACTGGAGTGGGTTGCCACGGCTTCCTCCAGGGGAGCTTCCCAAAGCAGGGATCAGACTGTGCCTCTTATGTCTCCTGCATTGGCAGGTGGGTTCTTTATCTCTAGCGCCACCTGGGAAGCCATTTCTCAAGGTCTCTTCTCTCCAAATAGGCTGCAAGGACCACATGGACCAACCTCACACCTTATTTCTATGTGGCATCTTATCTCACACCATCACCAGGCTCTGTTCAGTGTTGATGTTCCAAGACCATGTGTTTTATCTAACATTAGAGTGGTATGATTTGGGGCGGGGGGGGCAAAGTATTTTCCAGTGCAATGTGTCTTTGCTGTTGGTCTTATCCAGAGAAGCACTGGCATTCCCATGTGCCCCCTCATGCACAATTTGGAATGTCCTAGATTAACTGCTGAACATGCATGGTGTGCGGTCGTCTAGGGGAGTGGCTGCCCTGCCATTAAAATGGCACTATAGCCACCTTTGTTCAATGGCACCTGTTTGGAAAACCATTTCAATATTTCATTGTGTTTTCCCCATATGTGGTCAAAATAACTGGGAGATAGAAATGCCCGAGGTGCTACTGTAAGTAATAAGGAGCGAAAATCAAATGAACTTAATTCAATTCAACTGTCACTTGAAGCAAAGATGGAAATTATTAGGCAAGCAGAAAGGCTGAGAAACTTAAACTTTAATTAGATGCTCCATGAACATAAGTTGATTGTGCGTTTAATTATGAAGGAAAAGAACAAAATTACAAAGCATGAAAAAAATGCCAGAATTAGAGAATTAGATTGTGTCTCAGGGACAAGATGTAATTAGAGATTTTATAATATTGTCTAGCTTTATGGGAACTGAACTTGGTTTATAACAGATGAATGTGTTGTATAAATTCAACTTTCCTACAAGTTTTCGGGAAAGTATCACATGCCAGAGTGGAAAAACACCTGTATAAGAGAGGAGATGCTAGCATAACATTTGGGGAACATTTGTATAAGAGAGAAAAAAGAGGGATGTCAGGAGTTGAGAAGAGAAAGGAGGTAAGTTGAGGCAGAAAAGAATAGAATTTGAGTTAGGGGCTGCTGGAAAGCCCCCAAATCTACCTGGAATCCTTCTTAGTGCCTATTAAACCAAGGGCTCCATGGGGGAGGCTGGGCTGTCCTTCCCATGGACCGCCAAAGGGAAATCTTCATGTGGAATCACCTTTAAATTTCCTCTTTATTACATATATTTAATTTTCCTCTATAGGCCGGGAGTTTTTGAGAACTTATTTTATCCATCTTTATATGTGCCAGTCATATGCTGTGTTGAGCTCTGTATCACAGGGGATTTGACTCTGAAGACTGCCTTACCCAGGCTTCCACATCAGCTGCCCTCCACGCAAGGGGAGGCAACTGATGGAGGCTGGGAAGGTGAGGGAAACCAGGGTGCTTCTTTCCCTCTCTACCTGGGGAGGTGCTGGCAGGGGCTGCCTGGCTTCTGTGGCTCCAGCTCCCATCGGACTGACCTGCCCTCCAGTTAGGGGTGGAGCTGGCTTCCTGCTGGTGTGAATCTCTAGAAAATCTACTGCGTCTTTAAGTTCTCAGAGTCCATCCCTTGCGTACGTATGAAACTCCGTGTTAAACACTTGTAGTGATTCCTGTTTTCCTGGTTAGACGTTGATTGCATCACTATATTCTTCAGCACCACCAAGGATACAGTGGATACATTGCTAGATGAATCAATGTGAGGATTCAAGAGTTGTTGTTGTTGTTTTTAACTAAGATTGAGGACCCCTTCCCCGTTTGTAACAAAACTCAGTGACTCTAAAGCGTAAAGAACCAACCAGCATCCTAACTTCAAGTCTCTGAGATCCTTGAAAAATCAGGAAAGACTGTAAATTTGTAGCTTAGGGGTAACGGAACACATCACACCTGGCTTCAAAGAACCCACAAATCAGCAAGGAAATCAGATGTGAAAAGAAGTTACTAACGTGATGAAGAAAGTGCTCCTTGGGAGGTGGATATGTGCAGTCAGGTGCCACCAAGTCTGGAGTGACTTCAATGCAGAGATGGCAGAGCTGGGTCTGGAAGGTTAAGAGTCTACCTGGAGAAGACGGGATGGGAGTTCCCAGTGGAGGGAACAGAATGTGCAAATATGCAAGAGTAAATGGGCTGGACCACACTGGAGAATGTCAAGATGGTCAGCATGGCTGGGGCTTGGGAGGCATGGAGTAATGTTGAAGGAGGCTTGGTGGGTGGGCTATGGAAGCCACCTGCTCAGGTTCAAATCCTGGCTCCACCACTTCATAGCAAGATACCTTCTTGGAGCCTTAGGTTCCTGTCTGTGACATGAGGGTACCAACCTAATATGGTTTGCAGGAACTTGATGCTTATACATGCATGCATGCTAAGTCACTTCAGTTGCGTCTGACTCTCTGCAACCCCATGGACTGTAGCCTGCCAGGCTCTTCTGTCCATGGGATTCTCCAGGCAAGAATACTAGAGTGGGTTGCTATGCCCTCCTCCAGGGGATCTTCTCGACCCAGGGATCGATTCCACATCTCTTGTGTCTCCTGCATTAGCAGGCAGATTCTTTACCACTAGCGCCACCTGGGAAGCCCAACTCTTAGCAAATAAATGTCAGTTATTATGCCTTATGTTATGCGAGTTACATGTATGTTATGAGTTGTTTCATTGGTTCAAACCCCCTGTGATACTGAACAAGGCATGGCTTAAGTTTGGCACTTATAAAAAATGGACCTTCCAGCCTGCAGTTTGCAACCCTTGCTAAATGCTTTGTCCTCTACCACCAAGGCCAGTTTCAATGACAGTAACAGCTGAAATTACCAAAGAAAAACACCACTGGAAGACACCATTCTCTACATCCCTTTCCACAGGGGTGCTTGACTGGGCTACAAAGGACAGAGGAGTCCACTCACCTGTGGATGGAGGCCAGTTTGGCGGACTTCCTGCCGATGGAGAACTCCGAGCAGTAGAAGTCAGCCTCAGCCCAGGTCTTATTGAGAGGGAAAAATCTGTAGCAGTGGCCTTTGAACTCCATCCAGAAGAGAGGGCACAGGGAAGCCTGGGGCAGCTCTGGCATGGCTGGGGACAGAGAGAAACGGGCTGGGAAGAAGGCTGGCCATGCAAACACTGATGCTATGGCTTATGACATCTTTTAAAGTACAAAAGTAAAAAGTGATCCCAGTATGATTAACACATGCCTAAAATTTACAAAATAATAAAAGTAATATGTACTCATTATAGAATCCTTGGAAAATGTTACTGCCTTAGTGTTTTTCTTCTTGTCATGTTGACAGCAATGATTTTTTTAAATGCAGTTGTGGTTATATTGTCCATAAACCCCTATCAGTATTCTGATTTCTAAAAATTAGAGTATAAGCATTTTCCCTCATATTATTATAAATTTTTGTAAACATTGTTTCAAACAGCTATTGAACACTCCCCTGAGTGGCGGGACCCCCCCCCCCACCAGAGTTTATTTAATCATTCCCCTATTTTGGTCTAATTAGATTGTTTCCTGTTTTTAAAAAAACAATTAGAAAAAGTGCTGAGATGAAGAGCCTTGTGCACCAAGCTTTTGCAACATTTCTGATTTTCTGGGGAGAGATTTTTAAGGCTTTGATACAATTTGCTAAATTGCCTCCTGAAAGCAATTTCTACTCCCACGGTGATGTCTGAGAATGCCCATCTCACCGCGCCCTTGCAGGCACTGTTACCACTTTAATGGCAATCTTCGCAAATTTTATAGGCAAAAAAATGGTATCTTATTTCAATCTGCAATTCTGGGCTCTCTGGCGAAAGCGGATATTTCCCTACATGTTTAATGACAAACAACAGCCAAGACTATTTATATCTTTAGTCCATGACTACTGGGGTTCAGGATGTGTTCTTAATTCTGAAAGGGGACAAATGATAGGCACATGTTTGAGACAGTAAAGTTCTCCAAAGTCTCAGCCCCTCTGGGGGGCCTCTTAGTGTAGTTTGGAAAACCACGATTGAAGAAGACCAAGCTGGGGAGAAAGGCGTGCTGAGAACCTGCCTGGAACTTGGATGTGTGGCTCAGCTGTGAGAGCAGGTACCAGGCGGTGGTGAAATTGTTAGACTGGAGTCCAGAAGCCTGGGTCCCAGTCCCAGCTCTGCGTCTCACATGCTATGCAATGCTGGCACCTTCCTTTCCTTCTCAGCGGTCGGGCTAGCACCTCTTGTGGTATCTGGGGTGTGGATCTTTGCCTTCAAAACCACTCTATTAGCTGGCTGGGCTCATGAATAAGAAGTAGTGGACCACGTTTACCGAGCATTTATGATGTGCCAGAGACTTGCTGGGGCTTCCCTGGTGGCTCAGTGGTGAAGAACCCGCCTGCCAATGTAGGAGATGCAGGTTCGATCTCTGGGTGGCGAAGATCCCCCCGAGAAGGAACTGGCAAGCTAGTCCAGTAGTCTTGCCTGGGAAATACCAGGGACAGAGGAGCCTGGTGGGCTACAGTCCATGGGGTCACAAAGAGCTGGACATGACTGAAGCTAATTTATGATGTGCCAGAGACTTGCTGGGGCTTCCCTGGTGGCTCAGTGGTAAAGAACCCGCCTGCCAATGTAGGAGATGCAGGTTCGATCTCTGGTCAGCTGTGAGAGCAGGTACCAGGCGGTGGTGAAATTGTTAGACTGGAGTCCAGAAGCCTGGGTCCCAGTCCCAGCTCTGCGTCTCACATGCTATGTAATGCTGGCACCTTCCTTTCCTTCTCAGCGGTTGGGCTAGCACCTCTTGTGGTATCTGGGGTGTGGGTTTTTGCCTTCAAAACCACTCTATTAGCTGGCTGGGCTCAAGAATAAGAAGTAGTGGACCACGTTTACCGAGCATTTATGATGTGCCAGAGACTTGCTGGGGCTTCCCTGGTGGCTCAGTGGTAAAGAACCCGCCTGCCAATGTAGGAGATGCAGGTTCGATCTCTGGGTGGCGAAGATCCCCCCGAGAAGGAAATGGCAAGCCAGTCCAGTAGTCTTGCCTGGGAAATCCCAGGGACAGAGGAGCCTGGTGGGCTACAGTCCATGGGGTCACAAAGAGCTGGACATGACTGAAGCTAATGAGCCCAAGCATGATGTCTGTACACATACAACTCTATGGATTTTTCTGGGGGAGGAAAGGGACAGTTGCTTTAATCAACAGAGCTGAGTTTCCCTGGTGGCTCAGAGAGTAAAGAGTATGCCCACAATTCAGGAGGCCCCGTTCAACCCTGGGTCAGGAAGATCCCCTGGAAAAGGCAATGGCAACCCACTCCAGTATTCTTGCCTGGAAAATCCCATGGATGGAGGAGCCTGGTGGGCTATATAGTCCATGGGGTTGCAAAGGGTTGGACACGACTGAGCCAGTAACCCACACACATGTAATCAGGGAGCTTCCAGCTGGGGGCTACCTGTCCCTGATGAAAGCCACTGGGCTTTTCTGTTTGACCAGAACCAGCCCTCTTCCCACCCCAGGCTGCTGTGCTGGTCAATCCCGGCGTGTCCCACCCCTCCCCGCCAGTCCTGGCCAATCGTCTTTCAAAGAGTGCTAGTATCCAAATTGGGGTCAGCTGATCCAAAATCTGCTCTCTTAACCCTCCCTTATATGCAAAAGGAGTTATGGGGTTAGTGAGCTCAGTACCTCTGGCCCTTCCCTGCTCCCCTCTGGACCCCTGTCTCCTCCTTTCTCAGCCGAGAGCACTGGTCTAGAAGGCATTGCCTCGATGCTGAGAGGGCTGAAGGACCCCTTGTGAGGCTGGGTGTTGCTGAGCTCCCTGTGGGGACTTTGCCAGTGCCTTCCTCACAGAGAGAGGCAGCAGAATCACTCCGAGGGGTCTCCTTTTGGAGCACTTCCCCCTTTGCATGAATGAGAAGCAGTAAGTCATTTCCATCTGCTTTCCACCCATCACTTATAACCAAGGACACACGTTGGTGAGAACTTGGCCACGTCTGTGCAGGAATTAACTGGAACAACTGACCCAAGACGATGATATTTGCTGGTGCTAAACAACTTTCCCCATTCTTACCCATGCTACAATTATTTTACATCTGACTATGCCAAAGCCCTTGACTGTGTGGATCACAATAAACTGTGGAAAATTCTGAAAGAGATGGGAATACCAGACCACCTGACCTGCCTCTTGAGAAACCTGTATGCAGGTCAGGAAGCAACAGTTAGAACTGGACATGAAACAACAGACTGGTTCCAAATAGGAAAAGGAGGACGTCAAGGCTGTATATTATCACCCTGCTTATTTAATTTACATTCAGAGTACATCATGAGAAATGCTGGGCTGGAGGAAGCACAAGCTGGAATCAAGATTGCTGGGAGAAATATCAATAACCTCAGATATGCAGATGAAACCACCCTTATGGCAGAAAGTGAAGAAGAACTAAAGGGCCTCTTAATGAAAGTGAAAGAGGAGAGTGAAAAGTTGGCTTAAAGCTCAACATTCAGAAAACTAAGATCATTGCATCCAGTTTCATCACTTCATGGCAAATAGGTGGGGAAACAGTGGCTGACTTTATTTTTCTGAGCTCCAAAATCACTGCAGATGGTGACTGCAGCCGTGAAATTAAAAGACACTTACTCCTTGGAAGGAAAGTTATGACCAACCTAGATAGCATATTAAAAAGCAGAGACATCACTTTGTCAACAAAGGTCCGTCTAGTCAAGGCTATGGTTTTTCCAGTGGTCATGTATGGATGTGAGAGTTGGACTATAAAGAAAGTTGAGTGCGAAAGAATTGATGCTTTTGTACTGTGGTGTTGGAGAAGACTCTTGAGAGTCCCTTGGACTGCAAGGAGATCCAACTAGTCCATCCTAAAGGAGATCAAACCTGGGTGTTCACTGGAAGGACTGATGTTGAAGCTGAAACTCCAATACTTTGGCCACCTCATGTGAAGAGTTGACTCATTTGAAAAGACCCTGATGCTGGGAAAGATTGAGGGCAGGAGGAGAAGGGGATGACAGAGGATGAGATGGTTGGATGGCATCACTGACTCAATAGACATGGGTTTGGGTGGACTCTGGGAGTTGGTGATGGACAGGGAGGCCTGGGGTGCTGCAGTTGATGGGGTTGCAAAGAATCGGACATGACTGAGTGACTGAATTGTTCATACTAGAGATGGAAGTGGGGGATATAATCACCCCAGTTTGCCCAGGACTGTCCCAGTTCTAAATCTGAAAGTGGCACATCCCAGCCCCCCACTCCCACCCCTTAGCTGATCTCCTGGAGCAGTGGTTCTCAACCAGGGGGTGATTTAAATTCCCAGGGGACAGGAAGCAATGCCCAGAGACATTCTTGGTGGTGGGCCTATTGGCATCCAATGGGTAGAGGCCAGAAATGCTGCTAAACATCCTACAATGCCCAGGACAGCCCCCACAACAAAGTATTTTCTGACCTGAAATGTCAATGGGGGACTTCCTGGTGGTCCAGGGGCTAAGACGCCACACCCCTAATGCAGGGAGCCTGGGTTCAATCCCCACATGCCGCAACTAAATATCCTGCATGACGCAAGCAAGAGCAAGACCTTGCATGCTGCAACCTAGAGCTGGGGCTGTCAAATAAATAAACAAACATTAAAAAAAAACCCAAACCAACAACAAAATGTCAGTAGAATTCCTGCCCTAGATGGAAAGCTGAATTCCAAAACATAAAATAACCCCACGGAGCCACAACACAAAACATCACAGCAAATGTCCACGTTTCTCAACCCATCTGTAGTTTCTTCACAAAAATTGCACCAGAAAACTGATCAGAAGTAGAGTTCGGGTTCTTTCTCTAATTTTAGAGTTAAAATGTAAAGCTGTCACAAACCCGTGGCTTAAAAGCCCCGGGGCTAGAACACCGTGGTTAAATTTAACTGTACAGACTTCACGGAAGGATGGTGCAGAGGGCAAGTCTTGCTTTTCACCCCCAGTCTGAGATAAAGCAGACCAACTTCTTTCTCATCTCTCCCACGAAGGGAGGATTCCCCGCTCCTCATCCGGTGTAATCTTCCCCAGAAGGTGGAACTTTTTACCTTCTCTCTGCTCCATGAGAGGTCTGTGCTCTATGAGGGGATCCCGCTCTCAATGCTCT